AAAAATATTATATTTAAAAAATTTCCTGTGAAAAAAATATATTTCATTTGTTATGAAAATTATATATTAAATTATATATTTTAATAATCATGCACAATAGTATGTTCTAAAGTATGTTTATAGCATGTTTATAAATAGAACAAAATAAAAAGAATCATTTAAATAATTAGCAATGTAATTATGTCAATATATTATTATACTTATATAAATTATATTATTATATAATTTAATATTATAATTNCAAATTTTTGAAATCATTTCATTTGCAAAAAAATTTTACTGTCATATTATAGCCTCTTTATTGAACAACTTTCGTTAATAAATTTTTTTTATATTTCCAAAAATTTGTGCTAAATTTGATTGAATTATAGTATATATATCATAATATATACATTAAAATATAATAATATACTATATTATATTATATAATATACTATATTATATTAATAATATAATTATATTATATTATATTGTAAAAATAAATAAATTTAATTCACTTTTAATTCATTTTTTAATTAAGGAATCTTGGTGGCAGTGAAGAAGCAATTACACCTTCTATTTCATTAATTCCTATTAAACAAGAACTAAATAGTAATGGAACAGAAGAAAATGGAGCAACATCTAGCAATCTTCCATTACCATCTTTAATAAAGGTCTCGCCATTAAAATCTCTTCTTCGAGATGATTTACGACGTAAACTTTCATCTGGCTCAGGAAATAATAACAACAACAACAATAATAATGGTACTTTTATTATCTTATAAAAATTATTTTTATTATTAATGCCTTATATAATATATAATGCCTTAGTATAATTTAAGGTTTTTAAATATGAATTATGTACTTTAGCAAAATTTTTTGAAATTTTATTATTAAATTATTAAATTATTTTATTATTATTAAATTATTTTAAATTTTAAAATATATAAATATAAAAGTCATAAGTTTTATATTTTCATATTTTTGATACACACTTTAATTAATGTAAACATAAATATTGAATATATTTTTTAGAGTAATTATTTTTCTATAAATATATAATTATAAATGATTTTGAAATAGGTAATAATAGCTCAAATTCAAATCCACATTCAAGAGGAGAACCTCCTAGTTCAACAAGGCCCGATCAACGAAGCAATGGACTTCAATGCGCTCATTGTAGAATTACCTTTCCTGATCAAACATTATATTTTCTTCACAAAGGTTGTCATAGTGAAAGCAATCCCTGGAAATGTAATATTTGTGGAGAACAATGTTGCAATTTATATCAATTCAATTCGCATTTATTAAGTAAAAGTCACCAATAATTATTGAAAGAATAATATTCTTTCAATAATTCTTAGAACCTTGTTTATTTAAATAGTTGATATAAATTATTTTGCTATAATTTATACAAGAAAAATTATAATTTTGAATCAAAGAGTATTTATGTTTTATAGTATAAAATATAAATTAAATTTTGAAAATTATATATAATAATATTCAAAATTAATATTTCTAATTATTTATAAATATAGATATTAATAAATGAGGTTCAAGGAATAATACTTTGCTATTTGGAAAAAATCGTGCCTTCATCAAAAAACCTTTGTCAACGCTCACATTCGTCCGAACCGTGCTAATTTATGATGGTACGAATAATCCGTCCATGGGGCTTTACTAAATCATATTCCGAAAGCTCTATTGATAGTTTTTAATCTAGTTATATATAGTTTTAGATAGAAAAAAACAGTGAATATCATTGTGCTCTTTTCTTTTATTCAAATTCTTTTTATGCACTGTTTTTTGTTTAGTTTTTTGTAAAAAATTATTTGTTAAATTTTATTAATTTTATATTTAAATTCTTATATTATTATATATATATTTTACTTAATCTTATTAAAATAAGAATATTATCATAAGGAATATTATCATAAGAATATTATCATAGGAAATATTGTTTTGATTATTCGTATATTCCAAAAATTTACGAATAATCAAACAAAATTACTTAAAAATTAAATTTTAATTATTGATTTATTATTATAGCGTGAAAAAACCGAGCCGTGTAAAACATTGCATATAAATACAAATATATAAATAGGAAAAAGAGATGATAGTAAAGTGTTATTTTAGGATAAGAAATATTTTATATAAAGATATTTGTACAGAAAAGAAATAAAATATTAAAATGTATGCAAAGAAGAGGTCAAGATATCATATTTCAAAAATTAATATTAATCAAAATAATATCAGAATAAATTATAATAATGTGATTGTTAAAATTAAATTTTACACAAATTTAAGATAATATAATTAAAAAGAAAATTTAATAAAAATATATAAAATTAAAAGAAAATAAAATTAAAAAATTAACTAAATATCCAAAAATTAAATAAATATCTATTTAGTTTAATTAATTATAAATTTATTTCAATAATAGTTCAGAAATATGATTTCTAGACTCTATAAGTGTTTTATGTACATGTGTATGTATGTATGTATTAAAACAGAGTATTCATTTATTGCATAAATTTTGTGTTGTTATTTTTTAATATAATATAATCAAATTTCAAATCAAAGTCATTAAAAATTTATATTAAATATTATTTTCAAAAAACGAATGTAATAGAATGATAATAGAATTTATTGGGTACTCTGTACATATGTTATATTAAACAAGTACATTAAGCGCGATACGCACGAATATTGTTGTCAATGGTTATAGTTATTTAAAAATCGTTCCGTAAATTGTGTAATATTTAATATCATTATTTTTATGTTG